GGGGGGTGATTTATGAATCTGGAGCAGTTTCCTATAGTAGCTAATCAGCTTCTCTCTTCAGTATGTTCAGGTAAGCTTTGTAAATTAATGAGAGAAGCTGATTGGCCACTATGGCCAACTGCTTCAGAATCTGTCTGCTCCAGTTTTGATAAATTCCTCTTAATGTGATTTAAGATGATGATATGCAAAAACAGAAGGAAATAATTTCTTAGGAAACATATACAAACCAAGAGTGGAGTCAAAAAGTATGTAAATTGCAGGAGAATTCAATAAGAGAGTTCTAAATTAAGGCCCTGTGCATTTCTAAATAATGACTTTTGTTTTTCGATGTTATCTGCTACATACAACTGTCGTAGAAATTCAGAACTGGCTGTTGATTTTAAACAAGGACGATTAGCTATTTAAATATTGGTAACAGTTAAGATATACTGATTCAAAAAATACAATTCTATTGCACTAATGGAAATGGGCATTAAAGAATGGAAAATTGTCAATCGTCATAAAGGATAATTGTGATCTCACCTGAATCACCCGCATATTGAGTCCTGTTTCCTGGGCTAATTGCTCACGAATGTGCCTTGTTGGTTTGGGTGTAGCTGCAAAAGCTGCCTTGAGGGTCTCTAGTTGCTTTGCTTTTATGGTGGTCCTTGGTCCTCTTCTTTTGGTACCAGAGTTCTGCTCCTCATTCTCATTATTGGTTGTCTCTTTATCTGAAGATGTGGAGTGATCTGTCTCTTTATTTTCATCCTGTACGGGATCTTGAAGGTCTGGAGACAAACTTCTGTCTGTACAAGAAGAAACTGGGAAAAACAAAGCACAATCTTTTAGAACTGCTTGTATTGCAAAAAAACAAAACTCAAAATTGCACATATGTACAGGTATACAAGTACAGTACAATTCACAACATTGAATACTAATTTGATTGTTAGAGTGAAATGCTTCAAAAAAGTCACTGAGGGGAATTTACTAAAACTGGAGCATACAGAATCTGGATCAGTGGTCCATATCAACCAAACAGTTTCTATCTTCAGCTTGTTCAGGTAAGCTTTGAAAATTAAAGTTAGAAGCTAATTCGTCATTGGCAACTGCTCCAGACTTTGTCTGATCCACTCTTAGTAAATTCCAGCCCATTATATTTTGTGCTGCTATGTCAACAGAGTTTGACTTAGCAGTTTCAACCTCTGTTGCGTTTTTTTTCTTAATTGTTTTCTTAATTTTTTTCACTTTTTGCCAATCTTTATTGTAATGAACATGTCCTGAGTGGACAAACATTTATGGATATTTTTTCTTCACTTCTGTTCCATTGTGTTGTGATTACGTCCGTTTTTGTTCTGTTATGTTACGCTGAAAAGGAGTAGAGCATGCCCTACTTTTTCTCATCGCACTGCAATGGAACAGATCGCCGCAGTGTGAAATGGTCCCATTCATGCCCATTCATTTTTCAGTGTCCTTGCGTTAGCATTTGTTAAAAAACAGATCGCAACACAACGGATCTGGTGTGAATGGGGCCGGAAAGATTGTTCTCATTGCTGTGGGCAACTGCAATTTACATACTGCTCTTTACTTTATTAAGCAATCCAGAGCCACATTTACTATTAGACATTATACTCCAATGCATTTGGGCACCTGTTTTTAAAAAGCACCTGTTCTCAGGAACCCGAATATTCTCCTTGCATCGCCTTATGGATAATACATCATCTAACTGATCTTCCACATGTTTTTCATCACGGGGAATGGGAGGGATATTCTCTTTGAATAAGGCGTTTAATCATTCAGTGGACAACATGTGTGTTGTGCGCCTGCTCCTGGCTCCTGAGTGGCTATTGTGGCTGTTGGGGGTGGTTGCATAGGGCAAACACATCCCAGTGACATAAAAAATGTTTTGTAACATTCTCAAAAATGAAATTTGCTGTGCTAAAATCGCCTCCCCTTGCTGATTAATATATAAATATTACAAATGATCAGATGTTGTAAATGTCCTTAAAATGTTGGGAGGCAGAAAGAAAACATGACATATCTTAAAATTGATGATATTATATCAAATGTAACCATTATTTTGGACCATAAATTAACCAAACTTAATAAATGGGAAAATGGCTTTACATATCGGTGAAAATTTTATTAGAACGATATTCCAGGAATGTGCACTAATTCATCATAGTTAGATAAATAGATAAAAGACCATATCTAAGGGTAGATGATAAGGCTAAATGCTACAAGCAAATCCTCCACAACTGTTGTAGCCTATAGGATTCACTGCACAATCACTGAACATTTGCAGCAAATTCACCCTAAATTACTCCTACTGTACATGAAACATTCACAAATGTCTCAAGGGTCGCTTCTTGTTTCTAAGGTCCACATATACCTAAACTTTTGCAATGTTTGTAAGTAAATGCTGCAAACAGTCTTTAGAGCCAGACAAGAAAACTATGTCTGAACACGAATATAGAAAATGATGAGACGTGGTGATTTTGTCAAATAAAGGTCAACAAAACATCAAGTAACCCAAAAACATTATACCATCTACTTACAAAAACATTCACGGAGATAGTATGTGCCTGGAGCAATTTAAACCTCAAGATACTTTTATATATTCAGGCACTCTAAGTATAAATTGTAGAAGGTATAGCAAAAAGGAAAACATTCAGCGCACAGAGATGAACGTTTGCAGAACCTAAGGCACAAGTTATTAACTGCAAACAATGTGAAAAATGCATAAACCATAAACAGTGTTCACTGTTCAGCTTATACAGCAATGCGCCAAATGTGAAGAGGAAAGAAATATGTTTGCAAAATCAAAATTTTAGGGTGAAGTCCACAAAGAAGTGCTCATGTACCAGATTATACACAGAACTAACACCTGAGAGATACGGGTATTCAGATTTAATTACTGTAGAGGCTGTAGTTAAATCCCATATTAAATGAAGGTTACTTCCTAAATTATACATGGGTCGGCTGCAAAGGATTTCAGAGGCCATCACAGACAAACTTAAAGTGACACTAAACTCAGGAGTTCAATCTTAAACATGCATTTAACTATTCCCAAAAATGTATCTCATTTGTGTATGGATAGATAGAAAGTCCCTCCGCACTCTTCACAACGCTCCCGGCCTATACAACAATGGTGATCGCAATGATGACCACGGATGGTGCCGTGCAAACACCAGGTAGAAGACAAGAATCACCAGCACGCGCTCACTTCTCGATCATCTCCCTGCAGAGAGTGGTGACAAAGAAGCCGTCACAGGTCGGCTCTATAGATCGGGAAGTGAGCAGAAACATGCCGCCGATCCGCTCACTTTCCAAACATCTCCCTGCAGTGAGCGGTGACCGTCAGTCACCACTCCCTGCAGGGATTCCCTCCTCCTCGCTCCGATCCTCCAGTGCTGACGGATGGAACAGACGGGGTGGGGGCGGGTACAACTGGCTCTGACCCTAGATAGGCAGAGCCAGCTGTCAATCAGCCAGCTGGGTGGATATCGACAGTATTGTCAGGATCCGTCCCGGCTGCGGTGGTTTCAGTATACCGCGAGCTATAGCTCACGATATACTGAACTATGGCTGACATAGGAACCATACCGCACTCCTTACTGGGATTCCCACTTAACCCCTTCATGACTGAGCTACCGTATTTTTCGCTCCATAAGACGCACTTTTTTCCCCCCAAAAGGAGGGGGAAAATGTGCCGGCGTCTTATGGAGCGAATCCCGACGCCCGAGACATGCAGTTTCGGGCGCCTGGTGAGTAGTAGGAGCCACTGCTCGTTTAATACGAGTGATCTAATGGGATCACTCTTATTAAAGCCGAGCAGCGGCGGCGGCGATCGAGTTCAGCAGCAGGAGCCACTGCTCGTTTAACACGAGTGATCTAATGAGATCACTCGTATTAAAACCGAGCAGCGGCGACGATCGAGATCACCATAGAGCAGACGAAGAAGGACTTTCTTCATCTGCTCTGTGTGATCACTGAGACCGTGGCGCTGTAATCACAGCGCCACCTGTCTCAGCGGTCACTAACTGCAGCTTCTGTCACAGCTTCTGTCATAGAAGCTGTGACAGAAGCTAGTCTATCGAGTGCTCCATAAGGCGCTCCGGACCTCCCTGTGTCCTATGGAGCGGTGCGTCTTATGGACCGCAAAATACGGTCTCCCGTATTTGCATGTAACGACTTCATTCTTTCATTAATGAAAGATATAAGCTTTTACAAAAGCTTAACTATTTCATCGATGAATGCCTCAATACTGAGGCATTAATTAATGACTGGTAACCGCTGAGAATCAGCAGTTACCGGCATTACAGAGCCTGATATAACTCGTCACGTACAGTGTACGTGGCCAGTCATATAGGCACAAAGTGCTGGGACGTACAGTGTACGTCTCCCGTCACGAAGGGGTTAATGAAGATGGGTGCTCGAAATGACCACAGATGTCGCCGCCACACATGAACAATAGAAAAACATCACCAGCACACCGCAAGTTGAAAAGAGCAAAATTTTAATTTATTGCCAATAGCTGTATCTCATTGGCAAGCGCTTTCGGGGCCCTGATGAAGGGGACCCTGCGTGGCCCTGAAAGCGTTAGGATATGTCCTCCCGTGACCCTTAAGAGAACTATGGGGAAAACACTTACCCCATAGTTCTCTTTTAACCACTGCTAGGATACCATATCAGTCACATAGGCTGTGTATTACTTTCTGTGGGTCATCTAACTAATAGACTCGAATTGTTAGAAAAAGCAGTAAAGCGCAAACATATTATAGCCCTGCAACCCATGAAGTAGTGAGTGTGAAGGTAATTAGTGAATATGGCTTCTTCAGTTTACATACAGGTATTCCTCACTTAACGACCGAGTTCCGTTCCTACGACCAGGTCGTTAAACGGATTGGTCGTTAAGTGAGGAACGATATACAGTACTGCACTGCATTAGTACAGTACTGTATAGCGTTGCCGATGTACAGTACCGAACAGTGTACTGTACATCGGGCAATTAAAATACTTACCGGAACCCGCAGTGAAGATCGGAGGACACCACTTCCACCGGCGACACGGCGCGCTGACGCGCAAGGTCGGAGGTCGAGCGGCGGTCCGTCGTAAGTGCGAGTGGTCGCAAAACAGGTAAGTCGGTAAGTGAGGAACATCTGTATATAATTACAAACTATACACAGAAGCTAAGATATTTAAAACGTGAATACACATTGATAATGGTATTTACATTAAGCTTGTTTCTTTCACATAGGTAAATAAATACGTTCAGAGCTTTAAGAGACAGAGGTCCTGTCACTTTATATATACCATAGGGAATAAGTCTTTCATTACTAGCAACATAAACATTTGCTTGGGTCCCTACATCTTAACAAAGCAATTAAAACAACAACATTTTTACATTCTGGCACATATGGATGTACAATCCAAACTGAGCATAAAACAGTTCTTCAACCTGTTAGATGAGAAAGATGGCTACTGGCAGTACATTCTTAATTAACAAGTGCCAACTACTACGTACTTTTAAAACCACTCGAGGATGATAGTTCAGTTGGAATTAAATATGCTAGTGAAGTGCGTAGCAAACAATATAGAGATTTTGGAGACACTGAACGTATCCACATAATAGGGGATGATTGGACCGAGCAGGAGCATGTTATATGAAACAAAGCTCTCCTGTAAAGTAATTTTGCCTGCCAGGTACCACTACACTGCACCCTGGCAAAAAGGTCATTTTGGTAAAGTGGTTACTATTGTAGTACACAGGATCCCAACAAGAAGAGCTTCTGCAGGCTCATTGGGGACTCCTGCTTGTTAA